TACTAAACACACAAACCCCAAGCCATCCCACACACACCCTGGTGGATATAGAGCAGGAGGTAAACAACCATATCACCCGTAGACACTGCATGCTCATACTAAAACCCTAAAACGCACATCATTTATGAGATTACAGAACTACCTGCAGTCCTCATACACAAAGGATAAACCTTAAAACAATTAAACCAAAAACCTTAAACCCCAAATTCTCAGCATTGTATGCGCGCACTCACCTCTGCCACTTGCACACTCGGGTGACCGGGCATATCCTCAAAGCAACTGACGAAGTGATAGACGGACAGCCCCACAGTAGCCACAGCCAACAGCGTAGCATGCAACAATGGCACCACATCACTCCACACAGCACACACCCACGCCACGCAAATAGCCAGTAGAAGATACAGCTGCAACACACAACAAGACAAGAAATCAGCCATTAGTCATGAGAGAATGGGACAAGCAGCAATAACAGGGATAGCATCAATACATATACATATAAAAATATTTATATATATATATATATGTGTGCGCGTGTGAGTGAGCGAGTGTGCGTATATATATATATGTGTGTGTATGCGTGTATGCGTGTGTATGTCTATCTATATATATATATATGTACGTGTATGTGTGCGTGTGTGTATGTCTCTGTGTGTAAGTATATATATATATTTATATACGTATATACGTATATATATACATGTCTATATATATATATACTACAACATTATATATATATATATATATATATATTACATCATATATATACTAAAATTAAATATTGAAGTTTCCTGAATATATCATATGCTAATAAGGCTCGCCCCCTCGCACGGCACTGATGGGCTGCTCACCTGTCTCCATAGCACTCGCCTTCTGCGTATAATCTCGTCCACTGTCAGCACAGGATCGTTGTCTGCCTGCACCCTCAGTCCGTTGTCTACTTTAACTGTGCGCCAATGAAATAGGTTCATGGCGTCAATCAACAGCCCGTCCTCAATGCCCTGCTGCAGCTTATCTGATGTCTCACTGGGTGCAGTTAGGAATGTAAAGCAATTGAGTGGTACGCAATGTCTGTCGACCGATTGCAATGGGTGAATGAGAATGGATTTTATTGCCCTTGCTTTGGGTGTGGCTGTTTGATTGTGCTTTGCCCATATGCGTGGTGTCTGTAATTTCCGTTGCGTCTGTTCATGTGTGTGTGTAGTGCACTGATGTGTTTGATTCGATGGTTTGCTGTACCTAATGTGACTGGAGTGTGTTTTTAATGTGTGTGTATGTAATAAATTGTGTGTGTAGTGTAGCGTGTGTATATGCAATATAATGTGCGTGCGTGTGTGTACTGTAATGTAAAGTAGTGTGTGTGTGTGTAGTTGTGTGTATACCTGGTGTGCCTGGAGTGTCCTCTGGCGAGTGTCATCATCTGCTCTACTGCCCGTCTGCTGTTGATTTCTGCGCGTTTGAGTACATCGCGAATGGCTGCAGGTGCCGTTCCCACATCGCGCAGAGACAACCTCTCACCTGCCAGCCGCTTCGCTGTTTCCTGTGGGTTCATATATATATGTGTGCATAAGTGAGTGTATATGTGTGTACATGTGTGGACATATGTGTATTTTATGTGTGTACATGTATATATATATAATGCGTGTGCATGTGTGTACATGCGTGTATATATGTATATGGGTACATGTGTGTATATATGTATATGGGTACATGTGTGTATATATGTGTACGTGTGTCTACCTGTATGTATTTGTATGTATAATAAGACGCATAAACTCTCAAACCTTAAAACGACTATTAAACACACCCAAGCAAACCTAAACTACTTTACACGCACACTCGAAACCAAACAGTGCATAGCCCAGTTCGTAGATGTCAGAGACAATGTTGTACACATGTACACACGTACTCGCTCGGCTGCTTGTAGCAGGTGTGTCTGCCACTGCTTCGCCACCTCCAGAGTCTTAACATTGAACTCAAACTTATCGATGGGCGCATTCTGTGCATTGACCACGTGGATGGCGAATGTGTCCTTTCTGCCCTCTGTAACGGGTGCACTAGGCAGTCAGTGAGTGATACCAGTCTCTGTGTGTACTTGTGATAATTTGGGGTGTAAGTCCTACTGTCCCCTGCAATGGGTGTGCTAGACTGTCAGTGACTGATATCAGTCCCTGTGTTTACCCGTGATGGAGTATATTTATATATATATATATATGTGTGTGTTTTTATTTATTTATAGATAGATAGATATATATATATATATATATGTCTATATTTATAGATATATTATATATATATATATATATATATATATGTGTGTGTGTTTGTGTGTGTGCGTGTGCGCGGACGTGTGTATATGTGTATTTGCGCGTGTGTGTGCGTGTGTGTGTGTGTGCGTGTGCGTGGGCGTGTGTATATATGTGTATTTGCGTGTATGTGTGTGTATGTGTGTGTGTGCCCGTGTCCGTTTGAGTATTTCATACATACCAGTTATGGTGCAGAGAGCCCCACTTTGTATCTTGAAGGTGAGTAGCGGAGACCCATTGCTTCCTAGTTTACGGTAGACGAGCATATACGACTGTGCATTGAGAATGCAGTATCGCTCAGACCACGTGCGTCCCAGCCGACCTACAGAACATATCATGCAGGGGTTTGTAAAGTTTTAGTAAGCTCATGGTGTTGCCTTTAGAATTATATATGTATATATATGCATTTTATATATATATATATATATATATATGTGTGTGTGTGTGTGTGCGTACGTGCGTGTGTGTGTGTGTATCTGTATAAATATATATGTGTGTGCAAGAGTAGATATATGGATATGCATATAGATATAGATATATACATATGCACTTATATATATATATGTATATATACGTGTGTGTGTGTTTAAGTGTTTATGTGCATATGTGTCTTTATCTGTGTCCGTGTCCATATAAACATACATAAATGTACATGAATACATTTATAATATATATATACTATATATATATATATATATATATATATATAGTATATATATATATATATATATATAATATATATACAAATCTTCTATTATTACTATATATTTTATTTATTGTTACACTATATATAATATATATATACATATACATATATATATACTTTATGCTATACTCACTAGTAGTCTCGAAGAGTAGTATATATATACAGTGTTTTCAAGCACGTCCGGGTACATAAAACAAAATCATATTTCTATCGGAAGTGGGAAGTGGTACCATTATACACAAATCCTGTTTGCGCATTCAGTTTGTACAATTAATTATAGATATCTGATAAATGCTTGTGTAAGCCATCAATGGTCTTGTTCTGCCTGTTGGTCAATCGAGAGCTGAATAAAAATCATAAATGAATCTTTCCCTTGCACTTCTGCATTTGAATAGTCATCAGTGTATAGATACGTTACTTACGATCAAACCGCAAGTAAAGCCGGCCGAGTATTAAACCAATGCACACCTCTTTTTTACTGCTCAGTATCCTTACAACTCGCCAAACTACAAATTATGAAGTCCATATATGTTTAGTCCAATTCATGATTTCTCTACCGATGATATAGCTACTATCGAACTCTCTGTACGGAGATACATGTCATACACCAGACAAGGCACGCACCCACAAACACGGCGGTGCAGCAGACAAACCTTTCAGGAGAATGACGGCCTCATAGACGCTAGGCTGAGTGTCATCTAAGGGTGTATCTACTCCATTCAACACCTTAGTCATCGAAACACTCTGCTCAAGTGGCACCGTGACCGACAAGATAGGCGACCGTGACCGCGAGGGTGGCTTGCCCGTCATTCTTACCTTTTAGTGTGTCTGTTGAGACTTTTAAACGCCGTGATGGGCGCACTGTAATTATGACTGCCACTCGTCAGTTGCTGCAGATATTTAATTTTAGTTGCCCAAAATTGGACCTCTTTTCCTTTTAAAATAAATAAAAATAATCAAACAAAAAAATATCACAAAGTGTATTTATTTACCAGTCACCAGTGCACCGACAATTAATCACACTGCCTCAGCCCACAGGCCCACAGGCCAACAGGCCAACAGGCCAACAGGCCAACAGGCCAACAGGCCCTGTGGGCGGCAGTGACGGCACAGGCCCACCGCCCACAGCTAACGCCTGATAGACTGATGATAGTGATAAATACGTAGCCCATGATAGTGATACGTAGCCCACCCCAGAGGCCCAGACTCCAGAGAGGATATCCATACAGGATAAAAATCCATACTCCACAGTCCACACTCCACAGTAGCACAGAATGACAGGCCCACAAACACAGTCCTGAGTCCTGAGTCGGTGAGTCACTGACACAGTGACAGTCCACCCTCCCAGTTTTTAGTTTTTTTCTTCAAAATATGATTACAATAAAGCCATTTTTTGTTAAAAAATAGTCCAGTGTCCTCGACTCCACAATGTACTCTAAACTCTTGTCCAGAGTTGTCCACTTATGTCCTGAATCCTGACTCTGTCTCCACTCTCCAGTCTCATATGTACTCTGGGCTGGTAAAAAAACCCGACATTTGGCAAAGGACATGTCAGATGTGTCGGCACGACATTTTGTCAGATCACTTGTCAGACATATCGCGGCGGCATTTTTGATTTTTCTACAAAAGGGTATCTCTTCTGTCGTTGTCGGATACCAAAAGAGTCACAGAGCATATGTATGTAGTCTCTTTCTGTCATTCTGTTTCAGTCTTTCGTTCTCTCTACCCTCTCTGTTTCTATGTATTTAGAGTAGAGAGAGAGAGAGAGAGAGAGAGAGAGAGTAGTCCTGGACTCTTGTGTAAGCTGTGACGTCAGACGTGAACGGTGTCTCTGTGACTGGCTGTCTGGCCTGTGGAGTCCCGTCATGTGAGACACAGACACTGAGATTCGGTGAGACTGTGACTGAGACTCACAGCCCTCAACTCCTCATAGGCTCGTACTGACTAAATACTGAAAGACAATACTAAAATTGTTAGTAAAATTAAAAATACAATACGTATGTATTACATAAATACATATACATAGTATTTATATATATATATTTGTTTTTTAACTAAATACTAAATACTAAATACTAGAAATGGTAAACTGTTGTTTGATTTAGAAGGCTATGATAGAAACAGTAAATACTAATAAATACTAAATCCGAGCTTCCGACTCCTCTGACTCTGGTTTTAGGGTTTTCTTTATTGGCTGGAAGTTTTTGGAATAAATTGTTTTTAAATTTTTCAGATGCAGCAGTAGATTTCGTGCTTTTTTTTAAATTTGTTTCACGAATCACGATCATATTTACAATTTATAGATCACCAACCAATACAACCATGCTTAAAAAAAAAAAATAACATGTACTTTGCGACTAAGCACACAGGCTCATTACAATATAGAGACTCAGGACAGTCAGGAGGTATGGACCGTATGGAATAGTAATTGAATGTAAACGCATATTTATTCAATTTTAAAATGTTAAAACGGTTATAGTAGAAGAAGAAAAAAGCCCTACCTAAGTTCTTCTATAGGACAAGTTTTTATAGTGAAAGCACTACAGATCTAAATTTGTAGACCCACAAGGTGCATCTATGAGCATAAAAAGGGCCGTGTATTTATTCGATTTAAACGTATTTTTTTCTTCGATTTATATAAGTCTTAACGGAAATCGGTTTGAGCCGAGGTTAGCTCTGCGACCTTTTTGTTGTTTGGAAAAAAACATTTTTATTTATTTCACTGTATGTATTTACTATATACCGAATGTCCGAAACATTGCCTCTGGTACAGCAATTCAAGATTTTGGACGGGCACTGGCCTCTGGTGGGCCAATTGGATATATAAAAAATGTGACGACTCGTCATATTCTTGTGGCTGGCAGTGGAGATATTTGTTCGAGTTTTTATTTATATATTTTTTTCTCCTCAAATGCTGCGAAAGCGCGCCAAATCTTCAAATCGGTACTGTAAATAACTTTTAGTAGGCCATCCATTTTGGCGGGCTTGGCAAATGCGTGATGGTCGTTTGATTGATATTGATCGCACACGATAGTGGAACGCATGTAAATAAGTAATAACACACATACGAGGTATTCGATAGCCAGACTGCTCATTTTTCACACTAAATAGAAGTTGACCATTTAGAATAAGAGAGTGTACAAGGTTAGTACTGTTGCCACTGTGTAGCCGTTGCAGAGAGGTGTGTCTGCACATGCATTTCAGCAGCGAGCATCGACAATTTCCGAAGTTGGATAGCTGTAGGCACTGTACGTTCCATCCCCAGAGCAGTATCCAGCACAGCCATACAAGTTAAACTGGTATCTACTTATATAATGAACTACGGAGGTAACAAAACATAAACATAAGTGGGAAGGTATCGGTTAGTGCGGGTGTGCACGATGGAGTTCACCCGAGAGGATATCATGTTGCTGCACGAATGGCAAACTCTGCACTTCGCCGTCAAAGCAGCAGACCCAGACATTGAATCGCAAATCGATTCGCAACGTTCAGCATTATTCCTACTCAATGGATCTCGTGCCAGGTATGTATTTTCTATTTAGATGTGCGAGCGAGTAGGGTGAGTACATAGTTGATGCACTGAGAACGCATGCCAAGCTAGGCGAAGTTGGATCTTGTGCCGATTGTCGTATACTGTGCCATCATTTGTGCTCGATATACCGACAGAGAAGATAGTTCAAGAGTACATCTAGAAAATAACATCTGCGCATCCATATACTGTGGTTGTAGACAGCTGTATTCGATTATTCACGATAACGGTGTCAGGCTCATTTGATCTCTGTTGTTAGGATGCACGGGAATACTCTGCGAATGCCGATTTATGTCTCTTCTAAACCAGTGTAATGTGTTTGCATATGCTATTTGCCTGCGTAATTCTGCGTTGGTTACATGATAGCTTCCTTGTATCTGTGTATTTATGAATATTACAACCTTGTAAGTTGTGCGTATCTGCACTGGCCAGTTTTGCTGGTTTGCTCGAAAGTTTGACAGATCTGGCCTCTTGTATCAAAGCTAACTCTATTTTGTACAATTTAATATGTCTAAAATATACAGTCAAGTGGCATTGCGTGTTTGTTATACGGCTGTTTTATTTTGCGACTTCAGTGAGCGTGTTCTGCTTATGCTTGAAATAGTCTGACAGCAAAATTCGTGTAGCTGCTTGCATGTGTATCAATACGCTGAAGATGAATGGTCCTTCGTGTCAGAGATCGCAATGTAGCTTGTACATGAGTACCTATGTGCGCTTGTGCGCATTGGAAGCAGATGGAAGCTTACAAGCAAACTTAATAACTTCGGGAGGGGTGTGCAGTGCCGCGCTCGATATGACCACGCATTGGAGGCGATGCGATGTGATTTTTGAAATAGAATCTGGCGGTCAGACAATAATAATTGATACCCTTATCACATGGTGATTCAATGTGGGCTGGGGCTTGGATGAAACGCAGGCATAGATCCACAGGCAAGACTACGTATTGCATACTTTATCAATTACATACTCTAGTAGACTCAGATCGACGGAGCACCTGCTCTATGCCCAGGCAGTCGTTAAAATCAATTGTTTGATCACCGACACTGTGCAGTCACTAATACCATGCTATGTATCGTTCGGCATAGAACGGCTGTGGACAAGGGTGTTGATGCCTCGCAGGATTGGTTGGGGGCTCTGAACGACAGTCTTGACACATATCACACTATGGTGGACAACAATCCAGGTATGTCTATTTATAATTCGGCCTTTCGTAGTCTCCCACATGGGGGACTCTAGTTTAACACTATGTTTCTCCCTAGTATCTGCTGGGTCATCCAGTAGCATTTTACCATCTGAAAATGCGGTGCTTGTGTAGAAGCGCCTATAGCCAATACGGTTAAACTGAAGTGCCACTTCGTAACTCCAATCTTGAAGTTGCCTTGTAGATGCTCATTGTGACCAGTTGTACAATCCAGCAAAGTAACGTGGTGTAACGTTTGGGTCTTATCGCAAAGACTCCCGAAAGTCAGAATACACAGATGTGTTGTATGGTGTAAGCAATGGCGTGCCTTGAGAGGAAATGTTAGATTGACATAGTTCGATGACATCTGTTGTCGAGAATATAGCTTACAATTGTGCATGTTGAGTACAGCAGCTCTTTTTTTTTGTTGATCGCTAATGAGACCGGACGATATAGAGTTTTCAAGAATTGTTTCGTACCTAATTCAATTCGCTTTACCATTTGATGCCTTCATACGGTCGCATATAGTCAACATATACGCCGAGAGAGTCGCAATGAAGCTGCCGAAAGATAACGAGGCAATCAGAGCGGGCATCATCGACGTAAAGTCCACCATGACTTGGGATACTATACAGCAACTACACCCTTTCCTCAAGGTTCGTGTTCTTGTAAACCTCATGGTTCCGACAATTAATGTGCGCAAACCGCTGTATACGGCTCATATTCAAATGCGTGCAGATGTTTTCTCCCAGCCTTTTTGTATTGTGCTTCATTTTACTGATTAAAGTTGCGGAAGATTCTGGGTTTATTCGCCTTGTTTACAAGCAAGCTGTTTCGTTTTTCTTGTTCAATACACGGCATCCCGCATTCTTCCCGATAGGCCAATTATCATGTGCACCGAATTCATTGTACATCCAATCCTTCTCATACTCGTATCATGCCGGACAGCCCCTTCTTATGTACCGTTTATTTATTTTCTGGGGTTTTTTTCTGTTGACTTTCAGGAATGTACTGATTCGGTGCCCAAAGTCAAGCTGACTAGAAATCCCTCGTCGAGTGTCCTCGCTGCCGGTCCCAGCGCTAACAAGAGCAGCACATCGAATATTGAGAAAGCGCAGACTCTAGAAACCTCCGTACAGAAACAAGAACAAAAACAACAGCAGCAACAACAACAGAAACAACAGCAGGATAGTAGGGAGCAACACCAGCAACATCAGCAACAGCGCCATATGCAACAACAACAACAAGAGCACAGACAGAAGCAGCAGCAGAAGAAACATAAACAACAACATCGATCTAAGGGTGATATCATGTGTATCGATGTAGATGATGAGTCTTTCACCATTCACGTAGACGAGACTGAAGATCTCCGCATGAATATCTCCACAGACCACGCCAATGTGCTTGATTCGGTCGTACCCGTCCCGGAGCGCGATATCACAAGCGCTCTCACACCCATTGATTCCACTGCGCCTACTAAATCTCCCGCTGCGAGGGAACGAGGTATTGCCGAAAGCAATAGAACACCGAAGCAGCAACTGCGGACTGAACAATCTCGCAGACAAAGTATAAGTCCCCACATAAGGAAGAGTAGACATGTTCATGAGGAAAATCCTAGTAAGGGCTCACCTGACGATCGTGCTACTGGTGCGCGAGATGGAGCAGGGGTGCATACTACTAGTGGGAGGGACTCGCACGGGACTACAAGAGCAATGCTGAAGAACGGAAAGCGCACACAGGACAGCGACAGCCCCAAGGACAGCCTTGGGAGCACTACAGGTGTGAGCAGGCGGAATGGTGGACTGTCAATCGATGACATGTACGCGGACACTGGCAACCACAGAGACACAGCACTAGTGGGGGGAAATGAACAGGGCCAGGGACTAATCCAGAGCAAGGGAAAAGACCAGGCCACCCGCATCTCCACCACGAGACATTTCAACAAGCTGTGCAAACAAACCAGCGACAACAGGTATCATTTCGTTGATTTCTTTCGATTACGTAGAGTTTTTGTTTACTTTAAAATTGTTTTAGGGAGTGTCATGAAGGACTTTGTCGATAGCTGGCTACCTTGATGCGTGTAAGATGATGCCTTGCGTTAACACCTGGTTCGTTTTGGTAGTTCGGAAAAAGTATTTTTATTATTATTCATTTCATAGGACATGGTGTAAATAACGTGCGCGGTCCGCCTAACCACTGTATCAATCAGTGTGAGGGTGAGGGTGTTGGTGTTGATGTGCTTCCATGCGCAAAAGAGCACATGTTGTCAACTGTAGTAATGAATATCATTCTTTTTCGTTTCTCACTGATGAACTAGAGAGTTATTCTGTATCATAACATTGAGAAAAATTTGCCTCATTTGTTTCAGTCGGAGCAATTGCGATTTGAGCCCGATGATAAAGGCATTTCTGATAATTCGTTCTTTTCTGATATATATTAGAACTCTCTAGGAGAGAGGCGCGACTTTGACGGGGTTTCAGCTTGGGAATTTTCGTATCCTGCAAATTATAATCTTTTTGCACTCATTTTTGGCCCACTTGTGCCAGGTGACAGTGCCAAATAGCGTCTCTCCACTGTGAGGGTCGTTCTGCCATGCGTATTGCCTTTACGTAGGCTATTCAATTCTATAATCCATATGTCGAAATTCATATTGTGTATGTCTTCTTTTTAGCTCCAATAGGAAGCCGTTTGATAATACAAAAGATGGGCGAAATCAACAGCAGCATCTACGGCGCACCAATTGCGACGATGTAATAGAACACTCACAAGACGCACGCGAGATGGTGTACTCACAGGAGACACACCAAATGGAGCCACGAAGGTGCAAGTCATTCAAGACCATGGGTGAAGCATATGTGGATGATGCATCCAGGAACTTGCAGAACGCACACGTTGGTAACGGCGCAGATAGAGATTTTGGGCATATGAATCTAGAAAGTGGGGAAACGCATACAAATTTAGGAAGAAGAGCTGCTTTAAACAGCGTGCGCGAAATGGAGAGGGCAAACGATGCCAGGGTGTACACACAGGGCACACACAGACACCGTGCATCAGTGCACATGAACGATAGAGCAGCTGCGTCTGCAAACGGTCACGATGGGAACACTCATGGGAGAGATGCACACACACGTGGCAAAGACGGGAGTACACAGAGAAGGAACAAAGCGACGGTGAAGAGTAGTGTAAACGCCAGCACGCCCACCGATGTGAGGTCGCAAACAGGCAATGGCGCATCATTCACCACCAATAGCCGATATCAATCGATTGCGCACACAGTAGGCGGTAACAACAAAGGCACCGCTGACAGTACCATTGTCAAGGGTACGACCGGCAATGCAAATGGGAATAACAACACAAACATGAGTACAAACACATTCAAAACAGCGGCTATGCTACATCAAGCGAACATAAAAAATGGCACCACACGAGTACCTCAGGTCAGCAGCAACAACAACATTACCAACAATGGTGCCTCTGGCAAGCGCTCATTAGGGGGCCGAAGAAACGGGAATAATAAGTTTGTGCCACCACTGCTACGAAATGGCGGAGACAGTGAGGATACAATCAACACAGGCAGTGCAGAAGTGGAGATGGATGAGCGCCTTAAGGGCCTGGACCCCAAGATTGTTGAGATGATTATGAACGAGATTATGGACACTGGTCCCGGTATTGACTGGAATGACATTGCGGGATTGAAACACGCCAAGAAAACAATCTTGGAAATTGTAGTATGGCCACTGCTCCGGCCGGACATATTCACTGGACTCAGGTATGTAATGTTATTGGGTTATGGTCTTATAAATGGATGAAAGCTTGTCAACAAGTCAACTGTCACTGACAACACTTAAATAGACTAGTTTTGGAGAACCTCACGAAATTATGGTATAGTATTGGGGTAGATTGTCTTGCAAAGCTGATGGTTTTGATAGGGTGTGCTTACACCTCCAAACTGTATACCAGCTGGAGAGTACTGGCGACCAGTGAAGTGATGTACGATCGAAGACAAACTATATGCGTTGATATGTGTTAACACAGAGGGGTGGCCGCCCTGTATCTCAAGATTGACCTCAGGTAGCGTTTTAGAAAAAACTCGTTATAGCGCTTTGGGTATGCTGAAATCTTATTTGGTATGGCAAGCAATTGTACTGTTATATTCAGTTGGTCGTACATGTCACTTAACGCATAGAAATATATCGTATTTGTTCTCTAGCTCGCGTGGAAATCATACTCGCCGACGTGCCAGCTAGTTATCTTAATTTGTCCTCATACTATAGTCAGTTGTAGTCTACAAGCTCCGCGGGCAATGATGTGGTCACTTGTACAGATATGCTCAATTGCTATCACATTAATTTATGCCAGCGACCATATCCGATCAGTCAATCAGCTTATCGTGCTCAAATATTGATCATCTGCCAAAAAAGATTCTTTCACATCACATACATCCCATTCCATCTGTTCCTTACTTGAACCATACCCACAGGGGACCACCAAAGGGCATCCTACTGTTTGGTCCTCCAGGCACAGGCAAGACTCTGATTGGCAAGTGCATTGCCTCGCAGTCCAAGGCGACGTTCTTCAGCATCTCAGCGTCATCGCTCACCTCCAAGTGGGTGGGCGAGGGTGAGAAGATGGTGCGAGCACTGTTTGCTGTGGCTAGGATTCACCAGCCGGCCGTCATATTTGTCGATGAAATCGACTCTCTGTTGTCGACTAGGAGCAGGTGAGTCACACATTGTTAATTTGATGGTACCTCTCATTTTAAACCGTATTTCAAAATTGATGGTAAGTCAGAAGGACCTTACTTTCTAAGTATACTGGTGATCTGCCTTTAGTGATCCGATGATACGTGTGATTACTTTATAAATACCGCCTTGGCTGTGTTTAGAGCACGTTGCATGGATTTAGAGCTAGATCATACAAATGGATGAAAATTGCGTTTTACGACACACATAGGAGCTTGTGTTTACACACATATGCACACACATGTATTTTGAAGGAGGTGTTTTAACAGCTCATCTTCGTATGCGTTTGGGCTCTCGCAGTTGTATACTCAGCAGAGACACGAAAAAATTGTAAAACCTTTATCTAATTTGCAGCTCATTGAGCCACAAATCTTCATCTTACGGTGCTGTGTCTTCCTCGCATATCACACCAACGCGTTGTCACTGTGGTTATAGTCGTCTACTTATGATAGTAGCTGGCTGGTTTTAGATCTGTGCCATTGTTTAATATGTACACACCCGGCATGTAGCTATGACCTATGATAGCCCTCACACACGTTTCACACTCGTTATACAAATATGGCGCATTTTCATCCTGCCACGGTTGCCGACTACTAGTACCGAACATGAATCGTCCCGGCGTATCAAGACTGAATTTCTGGTGCAATTGGATGGGGCAGCCACAAGTGCCGATGATCGCATCCTATTGGTCGGTGCGACAAATTTGCCTCAGGAAATCGATGACGCTGCACGCAGGCGACTGGTGAAGAGATTGTATATTCCATTGCCTGATAAAGGTGAGAGTTTGTCATTTATATGTCCCCGGAGATGGATTTTAGAAGATCTATATGTGTCGTGAGTAAACGGACTGGCTTGCCGCAGCAATTTTAAAGTACTTTCATTCGGATGTACCTATATTAAAAAAACCTGCCGATAATTGTTGCGTTCGCCTGTGTATGCTCATAATGTATGTATAAGGTGGTACATCAACAATTACAGGTATAACCGAACCTTAATGTATATCGTAGACTAATTGCAGCCATGGTAGAGTTGTCTTTTCATGCATCTACACGAGACCGAATAGGTGTATATTCGATACCTCGGTGTGAACGATTACATTCACGGATTTTGCATTTTTACACAGGAGCTACTGTACGGAAAATATGAGAGTACGATACAAACTCTTGTTGCAGAATAGCATGAAATCAAGCGTTCTTAAATTTAAAAATTCGATCTCATCACTGAAATGTATTCGGTTTGTGATCCAACGACGAGTATCCATTGACTCGTTGCTGTCAATTGATGTCGTAGTAGTCCGACACGTTCGTTTTTCGCATAATTGTGCCTGTGTCATATTCAGCTTTCCTCCTATTTTGATATCTCTATTCTCTGTCGGCCTATGAAAACCAAACGATAAACATCTGAAGCCACGTCCTTTGTTTCATTCTTTTTCAGAGGGTCGACAACAGCTGTTTGACATCGTTCTTGCTTCGCAAGCCCATAGTTTGACGCCTGAAGAGCTTGAAGCTCTGGTACAGAAAACCAAAGGTAGGTATATACGCAACACCACTCGATCACACGGTTTCGAATTTAAAAGTGCAGTACCCGTAGTTGTACGGAAGCTTGCTTACAATTGTGTGACCAACGCCTACAAAAGCCATGCGCTTGCACTCGCCCGATCAGAGAGATCCATACGCCAAGTACCTATCTTCCCTTCAATGCACGTGAGCTTTCTTGATATGCATCCGCAACCTCGGACTGCGAGTCTTCGCAGTGTGACATCCCTTGTTAGGACCATCGTGCAGAAACCTATGTGATATATCGACCGGTATAATCTTAAGAATGCTTCAGAAGAGTATTTGATATATTAGCCGATGGCCAAATGGTCATCATAAAATACAATTAAATTAGTTCAATTCTAGTATACTTGTAGGATTCCCGTACATCATTTGGGTAGATGCACGCAGAACTACTACCGAATACATGCATGTCTCGGTGATCGTGGTATCGGTCGGTACTTAGTGCACAGGGGTGCTAGATGCATCGAGGTCTACGTGTCCTGGCTGACGTCACTTATTCTTTGACTATACCTGTTGCGTTCAATCTTTATTGCCATCCTCGCATCGAAGGATCGCCCAAATCTCACTCTTTGCCTGTTCATACATTTGATATATGGGTTTGGTTAACCTTATTTCGGGGTAGTTGGTCTCCCATGCCTTCCCCCCGCGACTCTACACTTGTGTGTGTACTACCGATTGTTCAACGGGGTTATCCAACCTTTTCGCCACAGGGTACTCTGGATCCGACATAAGTAATCTCTGCAAAGAAGCAGCCCTGGGACCAATCCGCAACATCGAGGACATCTGCAACGTCTCCGCTGACCAGGTGAGCGCACCCACATGTTGCGTTACTCTGATGAGTGCACATGGTACACTTCTGTACTCTGCCTCATTCTCATTATCTGTGAATCTGCAATTCACTCATTCACACGTGGCTCTTCCGATCTTCAGACGTGGCATAGCTTGCCTGACGTAATCCCACATGCCGAGATGATTTTATATGCAATTTTTATTAGGGTTCTTTTCATGCATATATGTTTATATGTCACTTTGATTTCACGATCGTTCAATGCTAAACTTGCGCATCGGATCTCCATGGCTTACAGTTCCTGTTGTCTTCGTCTCTTGTCTAACATGCAAGTCAATTTCTGCGGGCATGATTTATGCCTCTGAGCTGTTTTCACGTTTCGGTTATGTTATATCCCAGGCAACATGTCTCACCCGTACGGTCCTTGATTTCGTCGTATAGGTTCGTCCAATGAGCTTCTGTGACTTCGAGGAGGCCCTATTGCAGGTCAGAGCCAGTGTGTCGCAGAGCGAACTAGAAATGTACGTGCAATGGAACAACAATTTCGGATCACTTGCTGTGCAGCCCACGTGAATGTACTTGAGATGTAGGGTTAGAAGTAAAGTGATAAATAAAAAGCATGAGAAAAAGCATGCGACGCGACAGAACGTGATGATAAACCAACACTCAATCACCATAGCGATGATAAAAATCAATAAATGGACACATGTCAAATTTTTATGTACATGTCACCATCGATCTGTCCATATCTATATGAACGATCGTGAAGAATCCGCAAGCACTATATAGCATTAAAGGGCTTCAGTGGTATCAGCGCGGTTTGTGATCACTCGCGCGATCTGTGCTGAAAACGAGAACTTGGTGTGTTGGAGATCGAAATATAGATTGATAAAGAATCGCGGAGAAGAAGGCTAATGGTATGGTCAAGAATATTGAAATTGCTTTTACATCAGTTGTCTAAGGCCTAGGGTCACCAATATAAGTAGAAACATCCTCAACGAAGTTGAGGAGCTTCAGATGTACTTCCAAGTTGTGATTATTCTTACATTGTAGGGCCCACGGTAGAATTGAGGGAAAAGTGCGTTTCAACAATCTGGATGAAGCAGCATTATAAATATGTCAGAATTTATTAAGTCAATTGCAAGGTTACCAAGCGGGTCGCCAGTTGTCGCAGCAAGCTAGTAATACATGACTCCGAAAGTGGACACCAACTCAATCACTACCGACTTAATCACTGACACGTTGAGGTGGACTAGAAATGTGAATTAGTGACTATGTACAGTCATATATATACAATAAAATACCTCCGAGTTATTTCCCGATTGTTTACTTCAAGTGTCGAATTCGATCTATAACGGTCGAATAATGTTCAAGGAATTTTTCTATCATACACAGGTATATGAGCCTCATGGACTTGTCATACTCATCCGAAGCACATCGAGGCAAGGGTTTGTATGAAACTCAAGATGTTGTGCCATTTATTATGCCTACTGTCACGCGTGGTTGTGTATAATTTGGAATCAGGAAGATTTTCGTAATTGGGTACAATTGGAGCGAAACCAATGGGAAGTACCCTTGGAAAATATAATATTAAAAGTAGCAAAACATGGACCGCCAGGGGACATCGCAGCAAAGGATTCGTAGTGGGTCACGCGCCGTATAAATAAACCTACGAATGCCGAAACTTTGAAACATCAACTATGCCGTTCAACGCCCCTACTGAAGAGGTAGTGTTGGAAATCACAGGAGTTGTCGTCATCTTCCTGATCGGATCTGGAATTGGCGATTTCCTCGGTGGTGATGTTCAACTCTTGTACGGGTGTTGGACGGCAAGGTTGATATATCAATATTTGGGTTTGGCAAATCTGTCTGAGTGATATGTTTTTAACGGCGCGTGTCCTACTACGGATCTCTCTTGCTGTGATGTCCTGCGGTTTTTCATGTCTTGCTACTCCTAGTTTTGGGTTTCCCAACAACGGCACCAGTCTCATAGACATATTTACATACCTGAATAATCAACATACCTAAATACACTTATTGAAAGTAAACCCTGAACCCTGGAAAAGTCGAAGCTGTTTTTGTGAAATCACGTCACACGCAATACCGTTTTTTTTCTTTTCTAAACAAAAAAGCCTTCGGATGAACGTACATATTATTATTATTTAAATTTGTTGATAATCGCATATATTTACGACAATATTTATATGGGTTCGTCCAGAGTTCAGACCGGAGACATCCTTCAGCTACTAGACCTAAAACTCAGGGAGGCAGAATCAACAGCTGAGAGACATGTCGTTCACCACAGATACAAGAGGCAAAAGTACGGCCCACTACATGGTGTGCTATGCCTTTGGTGCCAAGCGGTGTCCGTGCCAAATAGTGGGGTACCGCTCGACCAAATGTCAGAAGACACACTAGGCGTGCACACAAAAAGGAGTGCCTGGCAGCCTTGAAAAAATTCAACGAGGCGAAAGCTACATAGGTGAAAAACGGTGAAGAGACATCACATGCACATTCAGAGGAGGATAAGGAGGAGCGCAAAGAAGCGAAGAAGAAGGATGAGTTCCGCTGAGATTTGCCCACCCGACGTATGCTGCGCGAATACACCCCTGCGAGCCGAGTGCAGTGTCTGTCTGTTCCAGGCGTGTGTGCATTAACAGACGACAGTCTCCCGGACTTTCTCGCTACAAGCACCACGTCTAATCCGAGCTCACAAGGCATCACATCTGAAGATGTGTACAATCAACTAACACCTGAACAGCGCACAGCACTGCCCATCGACCAGCTATGGGCCGCAATCAGGGAACAGTTCCTTAGGGGCGAGCCCTATAGATTTCCAGACACATTTCAACTGGACAAGTATCCGTTGGCTGGTTATGCGGCTTGAGCAAGGGACTTCTTGGACTCGCGCCCGCTGGCTGCAAGGCTTGAGAGTTTGCAGGTATTGATATATGTTTGTATAGGTTATCGGGTGTTTGATTTGTAAATTTATATCAGTTTGTGAAAGGTACCGGTGCTTGACTCGTAGATGGTCAAATTTATGTTGCCAATCATTCGTTTAACATCTCATGCGTATAGATGCAAACAATTAGTGCACGAGCGCATAAAAAATCCAGATGAATATATATAGTTTATACAGCGACAGCAAGAAATACCCTACTGTTTGGAGATACGTAACGATACGCATCCCTCCCATTTGTCCATATCCCTACACGCACAATTCTAATTGTTGCCTTGTCGTTCTTGGTTGTGTATATTCCATTCGTTGCAGACAATGTGGGATGCTACTGCTGCGCTATCGCTCGCGGATTGCTTCCGCTTCTGACTAAGCGGTGTCACGCCCAATGCCACAAACGCACTGCTGCTGTATGAGTTTGCTGCACGATCAGGATATCCCAAAGGCATGATACAACGAGCCATCTTTGAGGAGGCCATAGTGATGCTTCACATATATCCCACGTGGAATAGGGACACGCCGACTGTGCGGATGACACCGCACATGTACCGTCAAGAGCGCTTGGGACTGGATCTGATGTGTAAGTGTTTGCAGCATTGTTGGAATATGGGGTACTATGGCCAGTTTGGTTGGTTGAAGACACGTCAGCTGAACCAGTGGCAATATGGGCCTTGGGCCGAAGGCTACGACCAGGTGCTTAAAGTATAATTATATACCTTGGACACCGGAGAAAAGGACTGAAAGATTGAATTGTGGCAGTTAGCGGACGTGCAGACAGTCATACCATAAGAAGGGGCCACCCGAAAAGATATGCACATTTCCGTTAACCACGAGAATGGTATATGAAACCTCAACATGTGCGGGAAAGGGAGTGGCAGGCGACTACCGGTTGTTCATACTCTGCAATAGACATCACGCATCTACAGCTTCTACATCAGCGAAGGTCTAGAGATACTGCCCAACACCACAAGTTCAACACTAACTATTATATCTTGTGAGACCTAGAGGGGGGTATTCAGCAGCATCAAAACAAACATTCGTTGTAGAGCACAACTTCACATCAACGAGCAGGCGTTAGGAGCAAACACGGAGTGGCGCAGGAAAGTATACTGCCGTCTATCTGGCGACGAGGTCAGCGTAGAGCACTACGCTTGCAGCTGCAATGCTTTGCCTAACATCAAAGTGGGATTAGGAAATGGATTTTAGCAGCTGGAATGGATTAAAAAGTCTTGTGCGTGTACGAATGCGGCAACCGCTTACATTTTATTGGTAGTGGGGCGTGAACTCACCACACTGGCAAGTATGTACACATACTTATCTCTTGCAATACAGCTATACAGACTGAAGCATAAAATGGTCGAAAATAGTCGAAAGCTATATACAACAATCACCTTACGACGACTTCACAACTCTGACTCAAACAATTCATCCGGGTTTCCCAAGTCTTGCCATCTAATCCGAAAATGGTGCGAAGCCTTTATCGTATTATCCCGCCTCCTCTGCAGCTCTCTGTTTCAACGACAGCGGAATCCCACACCACACATACATGAACAGACCCATACCAATGGTGTGTTGTCTCATACATACATGAACAGACCCATACCAATGGTGTGTTGTCTCATACATACATGAACAGACCCATACCAATGGTGTGTTGTCTCATACATACATGTACAGACCCATACTAATGGTGTGTTATCTCATACAAACATGTACAGACCAATACCAATGGTGTCTTATCCCACATATACATTTATAGACCCATATCAGTGATGCCTTGCCATTGTGGATACGGAAATGTAGCAGGCGACGACACACACAATGAGAAATACAATACAACCATTTCACAATGGCAGCAAATGTCAGTCAAACACCACCGCACACAATTGCTTCGCTCGCACGCCCATGTGGTGTGTAGTCTAAGGTTGTGTTGGCAATTGTGACTTCCCAGGAAGAGTGGGCTATGCTTTGGATGTGACAGTATCTGCAGTTTAATAACTAGAACATTGTTTTAGACAATGACATTGAAGTTTTGCTTATCCATACTACGTCCTTTTAGACCGGCACGAAGGAAGTACACAATTTGGAAAGCCCATCTATTTATTGAGTTTGTATTCGAACTATAAAAATAAATTACAGCCCCAGTATAAACCGCCAGATAAGGGAGACGTGTGCACATACTTTTATACTAATGACACATGTCAGCCAAACACCACAACTCACAAAGGAGAGCGATCCTCTGCGAGCCCGTGCAGTGTAAGGTTGGAATTAATGTGCGCAGTTTTGATTTCGCAAAAAGAGTTGAGTGTGCTCTGATCATGACAGTAATCTGCGGTTTAACATACGTCTTCTGATGAGATGAGTATATCTGATCATAAATCCAAATTAAGTCATTGGAATGGCAAAGGTTCATAAATCATTGTTGGCCTACACTAATGTAAGCACGAGTAGGAAATGCAACAAAAAGAAGAAAAGAAAAACGAAGATGGAATCTTGGGAAGTTCGTAACCGGTACTTCGCGGTTTATTCAGTCGTAAGACTTGCATACTACACGCTGCACAAGGATTGTTACGCTTTAGTTATAAATTGTAATGACATCAGCAGTTTCTCATGTCAAAGGGTATCACCAAACACATACAATACATATAGATTATATACAGTACGAGGACGCTAATACCAGCCATACACAAATCAGCTAATAAGACAAGTACATGGGTGCGCCCATACAAGGATAGCAATGTCAGTATGTGCAGTACAAGGATGTGCACAACACAAGGATAGCCATGTCAGCCAAACACAAAAGACCACGAGAGTCCTTCGTTGTGGTCCGCGTGGTGTGAGGCCATTCGCTGTGCGCAGTTTTGATTTCACAAAGAGAGTAGGGTGTGCTCTGGACGTGACAGTAATCTGCGATTAAATAGCTTGTGATACATAAAGTGCATGTGAACTGATAGAACTCTGCACGTAAGATATCGCTGCTAGAAAGAACGCGTGTCTGTGGATGTGTTCAGGTATAGATATCACATCATCGCCACGAATCAATAGGGAATACCAATACCTTAAACCCATAGGTAGGTGGTGTGTACAAGAAGCGGTACAAACAAACACGTGTTTGGAGATACGAGCCCGTCGGGAAGTAAAGTCACGAGTCGAGTACTCGTTAAATCGCAGTCGAACAATGCTCAATAGTATATATATATATATATGAACGTGTACAACCACACTCTGCTGAATCATACAAACAATGGACAGGGACATACTTCAGGGGTGCTAAATACAGACCTTGGTCAACGTACACCGCTACGACTACGAGTAAGCTGAGATGTGCATGAGCCATATCAGCAGAAAAGAACAAACAAGAGATCATATGTACAGCTGTAGCGCCAAAACCTTCATCCTCATTCTTCTTTATTGTCAGCCGAGAGTGGCCTTAATTGTGGCACATGCGCTTAGGCTAGATTTCCACGTGTGAGAAGCTCTGTGGAAAACACAAGGAAGAAGGAGACAAACAATGAGGAAACGATGGTGCGGCTAAGTGTCCGGTGGTAACGGAACTCGTAAATATTGATGACATGCACATGGGGCCATGGAACAAAGAGAGCGATACATGATTGAATGGGATATAGCAGTGCATTTGAAAAGGTCACAACAGTACAATGTAAGAGACATAACAGTACATTTAAACGGGACATAGCAGTACATTCAGAAAAGGCATAACTGTAAAATATAAAGGACGTAGTAGTGCATGTAAAAGGGACATAACAGTACATTTAGAAAAACATAACAGTACAATTGAAAATAACTTAAAATACACTACAAAAGTAAATTTAAAAGGGACTTAGCAGCACAAGAAAAAGAAGGAAATGGCAGCATATTTAAAAGAGACACATCAGTTAATTTGACTTAGCAGCATATTTGCGTATAGGTGAAATCACTACGTAACGAAAAAAACCGATACAATAACACTCCCACGCACTCGAAGCTACAGATACCAAACCGCACGCACAACCCCGTCCACTCAAAACTCCCAAGTGAACAGAACGATTGTAGTCACAGAGAAAGTGGAGATGTAGTCGAATGAACAGGCGCTCTATCACATTCATCTGACGCAAAGCTGTACACTCTACGCGCATGCCTGACACTCTACGCGCACACGTATACAGACAACCACATGAATCATCCGACGCAAACAACGCCACCACACCAAACAGCCGCAATCCGTGCAGTGGACACAACCTGTGTGTTCCGAGCCCCCCCCCCCTCAAGTGCCCGTGTTCACCAATCCCAAGACCACACACACAGTACTAACACATCAGCCCCCCACAGCACCAGTACAGCTACAGCCCACCTACCAGGCTGTTCGGGGGCCTTGCCGTTCTCCCACTTGTACGCACGGATCTTCATGAGGTCCTTGGCGGCGTTGACGGCATCCACCTTGTCGTTGGGCTTCAGACAGCGACGCACACACCGCGCGGCTACGGCTGAGTAGCCGACGTATCTGAGGGCACGCGTGTGTGGGAGGGATAGGTTAGAGCACGAAAAAGCGTGTCAATGGTCTATTAATGGAGAGAAGAATTTAAATGGCCTGTTAATGGAGAAGTATTTGAATGACCTATTAATAGAATGCATACCCTGGAGTGATTGTGGCACGCCGAGGTGTGGGATGGAATGCGAATGGTGTGCGAGGGAGAGAGTGCTGAGATAGACTCAAAATGCCAAAGGCACAGAGGTCGTTGAAGGAGGAGCTGCACGCTAACAGCGCAAAAAAAAGCAATAAACTCTCGCAACAACTGCATGCACCATTCACACGAGTGTATTAATCAACATAACCCACGCACACACACACATCACCACGAACACCCACTCACTACTGATGTAAGCCCAATTCACCTGCTGCGCACGGATACAGGAAAGCACATGTTTACAACAGCAGTCACATATCGCAAGGGTTGCGCCGCAACTATCCTGGGTTTTTAGGAAAAACCACGGCCCACAAACAATTCATAGACACTATCTTACTATAGCACAGACTCACAGGTGCAGAGCATATAGCCACACACACCACCTAACATACGCTCAGAAGCACAATAGCTATAGAGATAGCATGACACTCGCTACTGTACACGGCCCAAAAACAATTCATAGACACACAATAACTTACTTAATGGCAGACTGACAGGTGCAGAGCATATAGCCACGCACACCAACTAACGCAAGCTCAAACGCACAATAGCCATAGAGATAGCAATACACTCGCTACTGTACACGGCCCACTTACGAAATTCCAGCAGATCTCCAGGACGACATTGTGAGGCAGCGAACTACAGAGAGAAGAGACAACGAGAGCAGCACAGATGAGCTATGTGGCATACACAAAGAAATGAATCCGCTAAGCATGAACGACCTACAATAGAATGCATGTAGTGATAGATAGCCTAAAGATCGAAGCCAAACAGTGACTCGTCGTGACGCGTAGAAAATTTGAGAACAAAATTGCTTTGTAGTTAAGCGTAACAAATGTACACGTATATATATTTGTACACATAAATATATATATATATATACCCACATATATAATATAACAATAAATATATACTGTATGTATATATTATGGCTATTTCTTAACATGAATGTGTGGTTTAATATGGTGTGTAACTTCATATATACATGCGCACATATGACTTGATACAAGTACACACTCCCATATATATAAACATTAATAACAAAAGTTTATATATATATATATAGATATGAAAACGCACAAATATGTACAATTGAAACTAATTATATATAAATATACTCATGTATGCATTCAAGTACTAGATATATATATATATATAAGAATACTTATATATATAAATAAATATAAGGAATGTTATATATGTACACGTATTTACATATATACATGTATATGCGTATCGGTATAAATGCATATATGTATAGGAAATAAGATTATGTAAGACAATAGAATATATATCCTTAAATATAATCGTGCACATATATGCATAGAAATATATATACATATATATATATAATACGTATATATGCCGGTGTATACTTCACGTATATAGACATATAAAAATATATAATTATATATGCATATATATATCTATATATATATATATACATTATGCGTTTTTCATTGTGTACTTTGTTCATATTTACATGTGGCTGCATCCCTGATCTATTTTAGTTGCGTGTGCGTTTTATTGTGAATAATGCATGCGATAAAGAGCGCAATATACACTTCTCCTGTCAATGTACTGTCGTTTGTAGTTATCACATACATAGATTAGGTGTGAGGTAAGTAAGTCAGTACTCTACCGTTCGCAAAACAGAATCAAATAATAGATTAGGATACTGTAGCAAGCAAGTAAGTGAATCAGTAGTTTTCAACCGTAATGTATAAACGTACGTGTCTGGCTGATTCAAGTTAGTAATTTGGTGCCCTGTAGTACGACGCGCGTGCAATAACTCCCTTTACAGAAATTCTATGTGCTGTAGTGTAGTCTTGCGTATGCGAAACAGTGAGCGTGTTCCCCTGTTAGAAACACACTCACACGAAATTTCTTGTAGATACGCGTACCTTGTTGGTGATGCTTGGTCTTTGCGGTATTCGTAGTATGCTGTGTAAATATATAAATAATGTTACAGTGCTCTTGAGCTGAACAATGCCATACACCTCCAACAAGGAATAAATACGGCTGCTCTGTATTAGGAATTTCCCTTTAGTACTGACTTTCTGTAGGTACACGTACTGGTACGTAAACTTCCTGTTTTGAAGTGTTGTTCGATGTCTTTATGGACATTACGTACTGCCGATATAGAATCCGTATATATCGGGGTTTAGAGACCAAGAACGAACACTACCAGAAATTCATAAAACCTCATAAACCAAAATAGTCGTCGATAATTTGAATTCCGTGTTAAATGTCTACTACCACTAATAGGGAAGTCGACGAAGTTGTATCGGGATTTTCGGTCTGCATTTGGTAAATTTGAAGCGTGTTGGGCGAATTACAGTTCCAGCAGTACTTTGGCAAATTTGTACCAATAGTTGGTTAAAGGTTTTTCTTAGACTTGGTTTTTTAGGGGATACCTTTTTGGATTCTCAGTGTGTAGACCATCTCACACAGAGTATAATTTTGGACTAAACTTTTCAATACACCCGACTTTGAAGTTTGAACAGCACAAATTTGGTTAACGGAAACAGGGCCATTTCCACTGACAACAGAGTTTACTACAATAACCTCTCAGCTTGCATACACGCTTAGAGACACGCACATCCCCCCCCACTTTCACGAACACCTACCTATACTTAGTTATAATGGCAATGTCTATCACCGGCGTGTCTGCGCTACCCCGCGCTGCTATGCAAGCTCCCAGGTGAGTGGGTACTCTTTAGTCTGATTAGTGTTCGTCAATTGTCAAATGTGTACTCACACATATATATATATATATTAGTATATTAGTATATTAGTGTATTATTATATCAGTATATTATTACTACTACACCCACCACACAACCACCACCACTACACACACACACACATATATATATATATATATATATATATATATATATAGACATGTGTGTGTGTGTGTGTATAGGTATGTATGTATACGAGCGTGTAGACATATATATAGGCATGCCGTATAGGCACTTTGATTCGTTGGTTGCTGGTTATTTTGAGCTAGTGATCCATCGAGACTTGTGCAACTGAACATCAGCAGCGAAGCTCACTTCTGTGTTTCGTTGAGCAAAAAATGAAATATGCACACATGTAAAAGCAACCTGGATGCGTTCTTCTTGGAAGTATTAGGCCGTCAATTTATTAATAGATGTACACGTTGATGTACCAATCTTGACTACAATCTACATAAGACCTGTATGGATGATTTGAAAGTTCATACATTCAAAGATTTATGTACATATAAATTTGTATGTGTGTGCAACACATGCACACACACGTGTATACATAAATATATATAGATGTATATAATACACACACATACATATTTGTATTTATGGCACATATATATATATATGAATGTATGTATGTAGGTGTGTATGTACTGTACTGTACCTGGACATTAAAAACTGATTCATCTCATATATTCATTTACGCGTGTATGCTTGTATATCCATGTTCGAACTGCTAATTATGTATATATACATAAAACGTTACATGTATATATATGTATGTGTATATAGGATATTTTTATACATACTGTGTGATAATTTCACAAGCTTGTTAGTGTGTATTTATGTTTAATCGCATATACTCAAACATGAGTATGTATATATATATATATATATTCATGTACGTAGGAATTGTATTAGATATGCATTTTGTGTGATAGTATCGATATGTACAATGAGAATCAGCGATGTATTCATGAATGTCTTGATATATCCAATGGTGGTATGTATTCTTATACATCAGCGTGCGCATGATCAGGCATTATTAAGCCAACCTGTGTACATATGTGCGAGTGCGTGAAAACGTGAAAGAGTTGGTTTTCATGTGGCCATGTTTTTCAGTTGGTGTAGCACATCGCTTTCTGGGATCGAGAATTCAATATAGATTATAGCTCAGCTACCATTTCCCAATGCATATACGCAGAATAGCTGACAACATTAATGGGCCAAATACCACCTTTTCAGTTACATAGTATTTTCTATTTGTAGTTCTAGGTTCGCATCCCTTCTTCCTCCTTATTCTCACGGTTGTACACCCTCTGGTGTTGCATGTGCATGTGTGTGGTTCAATGATCCATAAGCCGTGTCAGTGCCTTATCATTTCATATCTTTCGTGTCAGTGCCTCACCATTTCATATCTTGAGTGAGTGTCTTAACCTTTTGTATCTTTCGTGTGTGTGACTTAACCTGTTGTATCTTTAATGTCAGTGCCATGTCATTTCATATCTTTCGTGTCAGTGCCTTAACCTTTCATACCTTTAATGTCAGTGCCTTATCATTTTGTATCGTTCGTGTGTGTGCCATGTCATTTCATATCTTTCGTGTCAGTGCCTTATCGTTTCTTGTCGTGTGTGAGTGTCTTAATCTTACGTGTCAGTGCCTTAATTTTTTGTATACTATTTTACTTGTCTAACCAACCGTTTGCCTGCACCCATCACAGATTTCTGGGAGCTCAGCAGAGCCGCAATATGGCCACCCTGAAAGAGAGTAAGTTATTGATACACACTCAATCCAACGAAATATACTACACTAAGCTCAAGGCGGCGTTGCCTCTAGTACTAGTTCATACATGTTTAGAGTGCCCCATATGTAACGGGCTGAATGCATGTGCGCCAGTAGTTATCCGATCTTTTTTTTCTCACCGATTGACAAGTACACGCTTATGCGTTCCTTGATGTGATGTCAGATTGACAAGTACGCGCATATGTGCTTTTTGATGTGAGGTCAGGTTGACAAGTACCGCAGATGTGCTTCTTGATGTGAGGATTGACAGGTACACGCATACGTGATCCTTGATGATAGGGGATTCTGTTTGTCTCGTGTGCGTGAGACTGACCATGTATAGTGCGTATCTGCTTCTGTCGCGAGGGCTCACTCTGTGGTATAGTTGGGATGATTAGAACAAAAGTATGATTTTAACCCAAAGGTTGTCTGTACTTGCGCGTTTGTCTAACGCTAATGTACTCGTGCGTCTGTATGGTATCTATTACCACGAGAATTCTCTATAGTTTGTACCTCATCCGATTACTGCTACATTGCTGATCCCTTCGCTCAATGCATCTCCTTGTCCTGATTTCAAATACGGTGTCATACACGTATAATTAAGCAGGCTTATGCTTGGATTAATCCTTCTTTCTCGTTAATTCAACCACCACTCATACCCTTGACCGATCATCCTCTGGCCTATACCCCCATATCTCGTACGCTGATTTCCATACGATTACCTCACCATACACTTATGCTTTGGTGTGTTTGCTGGTAAACAGTTAAGACGCGTTTGGTGTCGGTGACCAACATTCAGAAGATCACCAAGTCCATGAAAATGGTGTCCGCCGCAAAGTTCTCGCGCGCTGAGCGACAAATGAAGGCTGGCATGCCCTTCGCCCGTGGAGCGGCTGGTAGGTCTAGTCATACATATGTGTATTTGTATATATATATATATATATTCTGGATGACCAGTCAAGCATGCACCATCCTGTCTAATTCACGGTATATGACTATTCGTATCAAATCAGGCATATCTAACGTATGTACTGGCAGGTCATCTGTGGTAAGGCCTGGAGTATTGTTTTACATGGATATAGTTGAGTTCCTGTACGCGTATAGTGATGCATGCTGTGGGCTTTGAGTAAAGGCACATGTCTGTGCGTGCACTCTGGTTTTATGTACACGGCGCATTCCACCCGAGTGGTCCATGTGTAGTTCTAAATGCAGGGTGCGTGTGGGGGGCATTTATGGAGTGTCATTCGTTGAGTGGTGGTGACTGGGCAATTGCCATGTATTTGGTTCTGCAAGACTCAGTGTTGCGTTGTGGTTGCATTCTGGATTGCATATGATCTGCCGCAAGTGGTGAACAAGTATTAGTTGTGAATACGAATGTAACATATCAGTCGATGGCATGTTCGCAGGCGTCCATGTTTATTGTTGATCTGTGCTTGGATGGTGCAAATACAATGGACTGTGTCTGTATGGAGATATGTATGAGTGATGTATCTATACGTCTACATTCTTAATCACCGGTAAACGTATTACGACCAGTTTGTGTCCTGTGTGTTGCAAACGAATACATACCTTTGTGCGCGGATGCAAAGCTATCCATTTCCACTTGCTACCCACTCTCACGCTTGTGCGCCCACGAACACGTACTTCTTATTGTTTAGGTTTGTCCAAGGCTGCTGAGATCACTGTTGAGGACGACTACCAGGGCCGTGTAATTATCTGCCTGTCATCCGGTAAGCCCATATATATGTGCATGTATATATATGCGTGTGTATCGTGTTACAATATTTTTCAACCATATGTTGGAGATTGATGGAAGAAGTGCTGCAATTGTATGCACTAGCATAAAATAGATCTTTGGTTTCTGAAGCGATACTCAAGTGCAAAGTCACTTTATATACAAGGTTGCGTTCGGCTGTGTCTGCAAGGACAATTATTGTGAGATAGATACGCGTAGTCCCATATAGATATCCATAGCTGCACCCACGCCCTTGGTTAGCGAGGTCACACATATGTGCAGTGAGTCCTATTTGACACATGTGTGCAATCTGGTGCTATTGAACATGGGTAACCACCCGTGCCCACATACACGCTTGTAAGTAGGTCGGTTTACGGTGGGTGGTGTTTAGGTACTTTCTAGTGATGGCAGATATATCCTGGTGATATGCTCCCGAGTACTCATGGAGACACCCCTTCTGGCTCTTGCATCATACGTCTATATTAGATCGTGGTTTGTGTGGTGGTATCCACTCGGCCATTACCAAGGCTGTCAAGCCCGTTCTGAGCAAGGATTCCGAGGCCAAGGTGTTTATCTGGGGTGACAAGGTGCGCATGCAGCTGCAACGTATCTACCCCAAGAACATCCAAGCACATTTCGCCGAGATCGGCAAGAGGGTATGTTATCAGTGTCTTTACCGTACGCTTATACGCTACACTGTATGTCCCTATACATGGGCGCACCTCTGTGATTCGTAGCCATCCACAGTCGCACACATGAGAGTTTTATGTGTATTTTGATTTCTGTGCGCACGGCTATTGCGGCTGTGTGTGCTTGTGTTTTATATTCTATTATTAGTCTGTTGGCCACCTCTCAAGATCCGCCAGGCGGCATTGGTGTGCAATTATTTGGGTATTCGGATGAATCTTGACATTTCGATTTTTGGAGTTAGCTCTTCCTTAGCACCACGGAGTTTGATTTTCCGGTATTCTGTGTCTCCTATCAATACAACTTTATATTCCTATGTTTTATGCCATCATCCCACGTATGTACGAGATATTAATGTATATATATATGGGTTAGCCACTCTTACAGCCCCCCTTCGTTCCTGTAGTCCATATGCTTATGACATATATTCATATACTCACACACATCCTTCAACCCCTTGCACAGCCCCCCGTCTTTGTGGAGGCGGCTGCCCTGGCTGACTATGTGCTGAGCAGTGGTGTCGAGTGGAACAAGGGACAGGTGTACTACAACGAGTTCCTCTCGGCCATCGCCTACGAGCCCACCTCCCTGACCATCTTTAACCCCAGCAGCTTAAGCGAAATGGGTAAGTGGTTGGAGTTGTTAGACGCTGTGCATACTACCGTGAGACAGTGGTGTTTGATATTATCCACTACTGCACTTGGAAGTGTATTGTGTACGCAGTTTAAGGTCATCATTTAGCTCGTGTTGGGTGTAGATCAGAAGTCTGTCTATTTCTGCTGCCAACGTATGCATATAACCCCTTAAACCCTCACGACTCGCGTTATATGCGCAGTCTTGTGCATAGCTACAGTCTATAGCCTATCAATTGCTCTGCGTCAACCCTAACGAAATAGTAGATATCAGTGCGCGAGCATTACTCAACCCAATCTCATCATTGTCCCATTTGGTCGTCGAGTGTCTGTTCCATCGCCAGCCAGTACCCCTGTGTGCTATAGTTGCAGACCCTCTCAAACACACACGCCCAGCAACCCACCCCATAGCATACGTATCATTCTGGTCCAATGCTTATCCATCACACACGCACCCCAACAGAGAGCATTGCCTCCAAGTACGAGGTTGACGAGGGCACCCTAGAGTCGTACGGTGAGTTCACGCTAGCCTCCACACTCTACGGATCAATGCTGATCGCCCAGGCCGCTGAGCAGAGTGCTCGTATGCAGGCTATGGAGAACGCTACCTCCAACGCCGGAGATATGATTGAGAAGCTTACTCTGCGATACAATCGTACCCGACAAGCCGTTATCACCAACGAGCTTATCGAGATTATCTCCGGAGCTGCCGCTGTTTAAGACGTCGGTGGCATATGTATGTGCATGCATGACTCGAGTGCTGAGCTTGTGTGCATCTGTTGGGGTGACCTAGTTATGGGTTGCGAATCCTTGGGCACCATTCATGGATCAGTATACCTTGACGAGTATGTGGTACGATTTAGTCAACGTGCCCACGGGGCCCAATAGCCTACGTTTGAGAATAAAGGTTCTGTACAGCATGAGAACATGTAAGTTAATCCGCTTCTACTCCATCTCAAAAGTCAAGCCATTGCGTTTTCACGGTCTCCGAGTACTGTGCCCACTGTATATCGATATTACTTGCCCTACACTGCTGGAGACGAACAGGCGCCTATGTGTCCAGATGGTACACACCTGTGCTATTTGAACCTTGTGGGTGTGTTTATTATAACATACCATTAAAAAACGGTCGATTGTCGTGGATGACAAGTATGCCATTTCCTTTTGTGCAATGGTAATATCATGATATCAAGTGACTTGTAATACAAGCATTCTTTAATGCTGTCATTCATACGTACAGACGCAGATCAAATGACTGCTGGTATAGCATAACATAGGACAAACTACTAAGAACCCTAAAACCCTGCAAAGCTGCAAAAATGCCAATTCCCAAAGGTTCGGAATAGAATAGCCACGCACACACTTCAATGGTCCGAATTTGAAGCCAGTAGAACGCAAGAAAGGGCTTGCTCACTTTATGGTCGATCATACCCTGTCCTTATCAGAGGTATATATAAATGCCTATTATAAATAACGGGTATCTGTATCCGCACAAGTCTGCTTGATAGAGCGGGCTATCGAAAGAACATAGCGAATGATGCTCTAACGGTTGCAACGAGATATAATCACAGAGCGTTCGATAGCCTGATAGCCAGGGTATGCGTATGGGGTGTTTAAGTGGGGCCAAGGTGTCAGGCAGTGTGTGATAGCCAGGGATCGGATACAGTTTTTGCTGTGGATGTTACCGGGTGGGTTACTTGATTTTATTTGGTCATTATGGGCAGACATTGCACCATGGATGCTATTACTAATGTTGGATTGGGATGTTGTTTCTCAAACATGCACACTGTTGCCGTTACGAAATCGACTTTTTTTGCGTCGCTTTCTCTTTGGCAGAAACGGCTGCAGGTATCGGGGGTAGGAAATCAAAGTCATAGTCACCTGCCAGTTGGGCGGTGGTTTCGTGGCCTTGCCTGAGCATCTGTGAGTCGTCCTGTGCCCCGGTGTCCGGTGGTGTTTCATCCCAACTGGGTAGTCTATCCATCAGTTTCGAGTCCTGCCGCCGCAGCGCAAACAGCTCGTCATGCGACCGAACGAACACGGTGTGCTTCTTGGCGTCTTCCTTCATATGCCCTTTAGCGTCCCATCTGCTGCTGCCGTTCTTGTTGACCGCTATCTTGGCCAGTCTGTGCTCTTCGCGTTTGGCAGCGCGCAAGAACAGCATGGAGCGATGCCATCGGCTGTCATTGAACGACTTCGCAACGGGGATTGGCGGTGGAGAAGATGAACTGCGTCAAAGTAAGAGGGTGTGGGATGCCGGGTGAGACTCAAGAATTCAATGTTTATGATACACGCGTGTGGGATGACACTACATGGTCACAGCACGCAGGCAGACATTTAGATGCAACGCGATTCAGATTAAAAATCAATATATTTATATATATATAAAGATATATATATATATATATATATATATATATATATATATATATATATATATTATATTATTATATTATATATATATATATATATATATATA